CACACGAGCACACTCTTAAACCACCCTCTTCTGGCTATTACTCGCCCCCTGAAAGCTTGCCTAGTCTTGTTTTTTCTTTTTGGTTTTTTTTTTATTACGTAATGGTTCTCTCACAATTAGGCAGAAGCGTGATAGGTGTATCTAACTGAGGTGTACAAGCAGGTGCCACTTAAAGAAATAAGTACTTTAGAATGATAGGTAAGAGCAATCGTAAGTTCGAGATAACATTTATCAATTTGGTAACATTTATCAATTCTTGGTACGCTGTATGTATGACAAAGTATTCAATGTTAAAAAAAAAAACAAAAAAAAAAAAAGAAAAAAATCCGATATTACCAGACCATTTAACAATTTTCCACTCTTTCGTACAACTTCATTAACACTCTAGAATAGACAATTACTCTCGATAGTCGGTACTCGACCCTTAAAATTAGTACGCGAAATCGCGAGTATCGGTTGGTTGAACGCTCACACGGATTCCCTTTCGCATGAGTGTTCACTGTGTTCGCATGTACACTTGATGGCAAACAGGAAATCCTCCCTTCTCCACTTCTCCCTTTCTCTTTCTTTCTCTCTCTTTTTTATTATACATGCTTGGTCTACTGGTTTGAACCACTATCTGTTCGTGGTAACACGGTGCAAACATTTGTTCAGGACGAAGAAGAGTGTTGATAGTGGGGATAGGAGAGGGTGTTGGAAACAGAGAAGTGCGGCAAACGCTGATGCAATATCAGTAATAAGATAACGACTAGACGGCGTATTGCACCCGACTTTACTTTCCTTTTTCGCTCTTTTCTCATAGGTTAACATTTTGGAACGATTTAGTTACTTATCAGTGGTTACTTATCGGAGTTACGTGTAATATGCATCGGTGTTCTAATTCGGTTCCTTTTGTTCTTACATTAAAAAAAAAAAAAAATTATTCAAATAATAATTATTAACAATTACTTGAATAGATATGAAAAATTAAAAAGAATTAAATCATTTTGAACGATTCAAAGAACAATTTATATTTTTAAGAACTTGACATTTTAAGAGCATCCTGATGTATTATCATCACATTTCCAAACGTTATTATCGTTCTAACAAATTATTATACCAGGTGAGGCACGTACAAGAAAGAAATTTTTCACTAGAGATTAGAAATTTTATCAGCCTGTTTCTTCTTCAACCACTTTTCGGTTAATCTCTCCGACCACCGGTGTGTCACATATGGCGTGGAACATAAAAAGAGCTCTAGGCGTCGCTATTTCTAGTCGTCGTCGTTGCAGCTCAGATTAGAAGCAGTGCATTCTGCACGTTCGCGAGGCCTCATTTCGAAAACGATTCGTTTCCCCGATGTAAGTTGTGGAGCACCTGTCGTCCTCCCCCCCTCTCTCTCTTCCTTCTCTCTCTTTTTTTCTCTTTTTCTCTCTTTCTCTCTCTCTGTCTCTCTCTCTCTCTCTCTCCCTGTCTTTCTCTCTCTATCTCCACTACCTCTGTCCCTACTACTTCTACTACTTTCACAATCACGACGATATCACAAAGACATTAATGTTCGCGATGTTCGTGCCTGCGCATTTTTTAAAACCGAATCGCGTTTCACGAACGGCCAGTCGGAAATAAAACAAGATTAAATGCTCTCCGTCAAAATCAATATTCTCTGCACTTAACCGGATTGGAGCCCGTTGCTACAAGCTATGAAAGAAGGAACATGGTATTTCGTCGAAATCTATATAAGGTGATAAAATATTGGAAAGCAAAGATTTATCGAGCACGTGTAAAATGCGCGCTCGTCAAATTTCTTTGTATTTTCATGTGTATTCAGTGTCACAGAATAGGTCTTAAAAATACAAAAAAAAAAAAAAAAAAAAAAAAAAAAAAGAAAAGAAAAAAGAAAAAAGAAAGAAATACGAAAAGAAAAAAGAATCAATAAAAAAATAAATGAAAAAAGAAAGAAATAAATAAATAAACAAATAATCATTTCGAAATTGATGTGCTCGTCGTGATTCACGAATCTCCAAGCTCGATAGACATTTTTATCGCCTACGGTCACGTAAATTGTGGTTTTTGGTATGCCACGATGACAACGAGAATAGTTAGCGTTAGGAGACGACCGACCTAAGCGACGCGTCGTAAATTGTGCGCAATTGTGCGTCAACGTTGACCCGGTGTCATCGTCCGTCATTTCAAGCAACCTTATAATTGCCCTCGCCACGAACGAAACCATCCTTTCATAAAGACATGCGCACCGACAAATAGCTATACTCTTTTATAAATGGCATCAAATGTACGAAATTGATTGAACAAAATGCGGTTTTTGAACGTAGGAGAAAAACACGTATCTCACGGTTACACGATTTTCGCGAAAATATACGCAGAGATTTATCGATGAAATAAATATAGCAAATTAGTTAGCATTCCTTGTTAACGTTAACGTTACAGTCCAAATAATTTGGTTTTGGTATTCTATTAGATTTTACATCGACCAGAAAATGGCTCGATTATTTGCTCACAACTTTCTTTTACTTTGATTCTCGAAAAGCATTCGATCGAAAGCGAATAGTTGTGCAATTTACGCGATGGGTGAACAAGCACATTAGTTTGAACACACCGCTCGAGGATTTTAATGTGATTGCACTGTTTATTTTAGGTAAATGAAATAGAAATACTACGAGAGGAGTCTCGAAGAGAACTGGCTCGTTCTTTTTGGTGGGGATGCAGGACCGTCGGAGATGAGGGGTGGAAGGAGTCCTTATTGCGAGTCTACCTTTTTAATTAAAGTTTGAAACTAAACTAGCGCACGCAGGGAAAGGGTTCACTCGTACCACCCTTGCGGACTCGGTAGAAACGCGACGCATAAAATAATTAAGTGTAGCTTTCGCTATGTTGAGCACCATCATAGAGCTTATTTAACATTCTTACCCATTATAAAATGAACGACGGCTAACACAAGATCGCCTTCATTCCAAGATTAAATCTTGAAACGATAATATAACCGTATCTAGACTCTACTCTTTTACTGCCATCCACCATTCTCATCCCATTCATCTTGAAATCTACAAGGAATAAGAAGACTACTTCTTTTTAAAAACGAGGTTAATTGACATTTTCAACAACGTTACGTTTCAAAGATATTACTCTCTTTACGCTGTTTCATTAATTTTATCACTGATTTTATATCGGATATACGAACGAATATTCATTTTCATGATTCCTTTATTCGCAAAGTTCCTTAACCTCAATGCGACCATCGTCGTTCTATCAGCTACTAGTACGTTAATTTTCCTAATGGTTAATCGATAAAGTGGTAAGTTGCGGTAATGGAATCGTTTCATGCTTAAACTCGTATTTATACATTTATACATTTACATGCATGCACGTAAGTATACATAAGTCAGGATCCATGTGTGGTCTCTAGCTGTGGCAAACAAGAAACAGTAGGGATGTTCACGATAGTTGGAGAATATATTTGTGCATGTAGTTAAACGAATACGTTCTTGATCCTTGGACACCTGTTCACATATGTGGAACAGGCGCATGCGCGTATAAATTTTCGAAGATGTTAAACCGAACGAATAGAATCGATTGGTAAGTTGAATTAATGACTGAAGTTAAATCAATTGTTATAACGTTGGTTACGCACACATAATGCGTGATAATAACGCATTTTTCGTTTATACAAATTTGTATTAATGAACATGCGATAAGTTATTTTACTGGCACATTATCTTCATAATATGATATCGTGAACTAGAGCTTCGATATGAAAGTGTTTTCATAATGCATCGTGCGGTTACGCCATTTAAAACACAAACCACGTTTGTTCACAAAGCAAACCTATTTTGGTCGGGTTGCGTGCAAGCGCGATATGGAAGCGCACACTCTGATTGTGTAAGATTAATTATTTATGCAATAAAGAGTTTAAAAGTGAACTATGGATCGTCATTGAGCGTAATCGAAATCGTAATACCGTAAAATAATTTGCGATAACTGGATTATGTATATTCGACCTTAGATTCCATCGCAATGAAAACGTTTTTCTATTTTTTTTTCTTTTTTTTTGTTCTTTTTTTTTTCTTTTTTTTTCTTGGCTTTCGGACAGAAAATAATCTAAAAAAAGAAAAATGATTTTCATGATCTATGAGACGTAAAATTCGAACAATGAAATAGGCTAAACGTGAACAACAGTTTGTTAGTGACTTTAGCCTCGAGCAAAGCGGAAATAAGTTACGTCTATAATAGACGATACTAATAAAGTATTCTAGCTGAATAGTTTATTTTGGGTGCGTTTTAATCATCATGACAGCGTCGTTTCTTTCAGCTATCTTCATAATCGATAAAGGTGGTGGTTTCAATGAAAAATCGCTTTTAAAGAATTATCGCAGTTATCTCATTGGAAAAATAAAGCTTTTAATTCTTTCGACTTATCGAATGAAATGAGGAAGCCATTAAAGAAGAAGAAGAAAGAAAAAAGAGTCATATTACAATAATTAGATCATCATACAGATTTAGTTTTTTTTTCTCGATATTTTTATTCCATTTAACCTTCTTTTCTCTAACGTATACGATCAACGTAGAATAATTCATATCTTCGTGTTATTGTTTTCCTAAGAATAAATAAAGAAATACGAAAATATTACACTTTGCATACGACGAAGTCCTTTAAATGACCTTCGGCAAATAACATTCACGACAAAGACAATAAATTCGATGCGTAATAGAATTTCTCGTTTAAAGTCCACATTACAATTTAAATATACAATTTAATACTTTAATACAACATAATGATGTTAGAAAATAGAGAAAGAAAAATTGACATGATGAATTTACAAATGACTTTGCGCGCAACCTTTAAATGTAATTTTACGAGCATGGAAATGTCGAAACTGTTTCGAATATAAATCAAATTAAAACTTTATTAAATAATCTAATGATTTATCTTGATCTTCCTTTGAGAATGTTTTAAAAATAAATGCATAAAGTATGGACAATCAATAAAAATAAAACAATGTACTCACGTTTGATAAAACGACGTCGAAATTTATGGGATGTCCTTGCTGGTTGTCACGAAAATATCTCGGTTGTTCAACAAGAGCAATGTCGTGGTCCGTCGTTCTCTAGCACTATCACCAATTGATCGTAGCAAAACACGAAAGCATGATCGTCAACGAGTCACGTTATGTCACGATATCACAGAAACACTATTACGTTATTTCGTTCTTGTTGATTTAAGAAAATGATTTTGGCGGGTCTACGTCTTAAATCATCAAGTACCAAATCCTTCCGGAAGAAGGAAGTCGCGAGAACATATAAGACCGTGCGTAGTCCTCGCGACCCCGTAACGGACTGAGCGTCGCGCCAGCGGCACAGCGCCACCGTGACCCGTGGCGACATCGTGTACTAATACGAGCCGGCTAACATTTGTATTGCTCTATCTTTCTCATTCACTCTCTGTCTTATACGTACCCAATACAAATACTCTTTCTATCTCATATGCTTCGGTCTTTCCCTTTGCAAGCAGTTTCTCCACTTTCCCGCTCTTTATGGAAAGGACCAAGAGCTTACTTCGATTCGTGCTTTTCTTGTCGACCAATGCTATCAAAGACTTACGTAAATATATGAAATATTGGAATGGTATGTATTCATGTTCTTTTCCTAACAAGGTACTTTACAACTTCAATCGATCGATATCTTAAACAATAATACCGTATTAGTATATTCATCGATATTTCTTTCTAATCGATACTGATAAACGTATAATAAATTTTTCTCATTTTATTTTGGATAATAGAATTATTGATTTCTCTCTCTTTTTCTCTCTTTCTCTCTTTCTCTCTCGTCAGGACTAAATTCTATAATGTATGAAATAAATTAAATTTTTAAATAACGTGAAAAAATTATTTTTCAGTGAGAAAATTTCGGCGATGCTCGATAATTCTTCCGATTCGACTTTTGTCTCTCGTTGCACGTACGAAGGAAATATACTTTGTACGTGAGTACATAAGCGGAACAATAATTGTAAGCCCGTTTTAATTGAATAGATAAGCAAAACATCAAGAATTCTATTATTTGGAAAATGACGATGATAAATTTCTTTACGATTGCGATTAAAATTTGTAAAATTTTTTTTTTAACTTATTCCCATTAATCATTAATTCGTAAATATCCTTGAAAATTCGATCGATCAATAATATCAATGCAATTTTCCAGATAAAATAATAAAAGAAATATCGAAAATAAACGATATATGAAGAAATATTTGTATTACTTGAGTCGATATCTCTAGCCGTACGCAACAGAGGAAATATTTGAAATTAAAATGTTCCCTTGGATATATTTAAGCGAAGCATCATTTTCCCTCTATACCTTTCATTTTCAATCGTTACTAAATGATCATTTCATCCTGCCAAGGTGACATTTGAAAATGAGCATCGATGATGAAAAGTTGACGTTGATGTATGAAATCGAATGTTATTGAAAAGAGATGAAATGTTGATTAACTTAATGTACATTGATGAACGATCGATATTACGAAAAATAAAATAAGTATTTGCTATTCAGTGAACGTTCTTGATGATGCACCTACTAGCAAAGTTAAATGTGCGAAATCACTTAAGGAATACATTGCATATGATGACGTACTCAAAGATATAAGTCCCATTTAATCCCATTTGTCCTTTCTGAGGAGTCCAACGTTTTCGACAATTTCTCTAATTCGTTCTAAGAAACTACTTTAATATCGTTCTCGTCTTCTTTGTCTCTCTCTCTCTCTCTCTCTCTTTCTCATTCTCATTCTCATTCTAAATGCCGCAATCATAACAACGGTTCGATAACTTCAAGGCGATAAATCAATTAGCCTAGTGTCGCTACGACGTCTACCAACTGGACTTATGTCTTTGATTATGCAATTACGATGAAAGTATTTATGAGGTCGTTCACGTGACTTGAGAACATCAAGAGATCAACCCTTTTTCTTTGTTTTCATTTTTCTTTTATCATCCATCAGCTTTACTTATACTCAACACTCGCATTTATAGAGCTTTCCTATCTGTGCAAGTTTAACTTGTACGTTTTCCGTTTGGAGACTTCCATTTTATCTGTTTAAAGGTAAAAGCACGAATGCACATTACAAATATGAAACGAACAAACGTATAACGTTGCTTAGTATTCTGCATATTCTAAAACAAATATTAGAGATTTCGTAATTGTTTCGCATATGTATGTAAGTAAAGAGAATAAAAATTATTAAATCCAATTTAAATTATGAAAAGGTTAATTATTAATTGTCGTAGAACAAACGATACGTAAAACACATAGGTTTGTCTTATGTACATTAACTTTGTACTTTTCACTTGGATGTGAAAATAAAGAAATAGCAAAAAGTATCTCATACTGAGATACGCCATAATTATAGTAATTATATTTTAGCGTACCGCAATTTTGTTTGTTGCACATCGTTGATATGCAAAACGCAAGAGCGAGTGAAGCGATTATTTCTACGTGTTGGTGGGTCCGATCGATGAATGAGTTTCCGTCGAGTTTGTTACACAAATGCGTAATTATTGATTCTATTTCGTTGCGGTCGGCGCGTAGTTAAATAGCAATTTGTAATTCAGCGTATTCGGATTACCGATTTGGTAATCGGAAATGCTTACTATTGCGATTTTAACTCCCGCATCCGCCATTCCTTCGGATTACAAGAACCAATATTTTTTTTCTTTTTGAAGTAATGTGCCTGTGATTAGTGGCTCGTTGTTTCGAGACTAGCAGCCTGGAAGAAGAGAATTGTTTTCTCTCCACGAACTTCTGTTACGGAGTAGCGTTCTTCGAACGAGAGGTTTAGATTTAGTGGCGCGACGAATTAATGTCTTTTTTTTTTTTTTTTTTTTTTTTCTTTTTTTTGTTATTGGCTTGAACAACAAGAATCATTCGTTACTTTAATGACAATTCTATTTTATCGTCGTTCGATTCCCGTTCAACGATAAAATGTATTCTTCTCTTTGAATTACATATTTTTGATTTGTCTATTATTTTGAAAAAGCGCATTTTTTTTTTTTTTTTTTTTTTTAATTCGATATTGTACTCGGTATTGTCAAGTATTTATACATCGTTTAAAAACAATGTCATTTCTTTTCAACTTTTGACGTCTGTCTGTTACCTAAATGGACATTATTAATTCTGTACGAAGCACCTAACGAAAAAGTGAATTAATGAGTATTTTGTATATTTTATAGAATAACGAGCACGGAGAAATTTCATTTTCTTCGTTGGGATGCAGTTATACCGACGAAATCGTTAAAGCTGACAATACCAAGCGAAGACTCGTTTGTAAAACGATAAAGGCGATAAGGCTGACCATTTAACCACTTCGCTTTAACCAATCAGCATTATCGATCGATTCGTTTGTTCGACACAACGACGTTTTCCATTCGATCATAAATCTTTACTCTCTTGCAACTATTCCGGGTGCCCTTAGGTGCGACTTAGGTCCCGAAGATGGGATATTTTGTTAAGCCATTAATAATCACCGTCTCGCGTCTCTCGGTAACAGGCTTTCTCAATTAATCTACGTTACGAGTGTACGGAATGGAGAGACGAAGAATGGGAGAGAACGATAGTTGAAAGGGGAAAGAGATGGAGAGAAAGAGAAAGGCAAGAGAAAATGTAAAAGCTTGAAAATTAATATTAACGCACAGTTTGGAGGAACTTGCATATATATATATATATATATTAGAGCAATAAATCGATATTTTATGTCATCAATGAATAATAACGTGATTCCTATATGGATACTTTCCTCATTGTTTCGAACATTATCCGAGTAGACTTAATCGTATTGCTTATAGTTATTATTATATCGTTTATATTACATATTCAAGTATTTAATTTTTATCCGATGTTGAAAAACTAAAATCAATAGAAATGAGTGAAAATTTTCAATTGAGAAATAAAAATGAATTAAATTCAAAAGATTTCTTTTAAGGTTTCTAATATTTAATTCGTCAATCGAACGTGATGGTATAAGACCAATCAGGATTTTTTTTTCCGTAATTTTTATTTTTGACCATAATGTACATCAGCGCAATCTCCTCAAGAGAGAATGAGTGCTCGAAGTAACCTAATTTAAATGCAAGTATAAAGTATTGTTTGTATGTATTATATGCGATACATATTATCCTATACCGTGCTACAAATCCATCGCAAAAACCGTGGAACAGCGTATTTTACATACGGCTATATGAGCAGATGGCTTTGCATGAAAATTGATGAGTAAACGGAGATAGATAGATAGAGAAAGAGAGAGAAAGAGAAAGAGAGAGAGAGAGAGAGAGAGAGAGAGAGAGAGAGACAGAGGATCAATGATTTACGCAAACGAATTATACTTTTATATGTCATTATATCATTTGACTATAAATTTTTATCAATTGAACTATGTTGAAACAAAACGCATTATTATATCGATTAGAAAGGAATTATTAATTTGTACTTAAATGATTATGATTAGTGTACTTTAACATAACGAAGTTTCTATACAGTTTATCTCTTTCTCTATAATTAACCGTAACCGCAAGTGTCAGTAATATAGTATATTTCATTTTGGTACGAACCTTATACGTTCGTTAATATAAACTACCACTCCGCAGTTATGATCATCGTCCACTGACAGAGCCCAATATTTCCATATTAACACGCATCACTGTCCGTTATCGACCAAAATTAGACGAATAATTCGTTCATCGAAGCGAATCCTTTCATATACATATACATATACGTATATATGGTATATATCGTGGTATAGTAACGAGAGAGATGGATAGTGATGATCATTAGAAATTCATAAAGGACCGTAGAGTTTCGACTATTCCTGGTAATTACGAGCTCGAACAGGAGCATAAAATTCTAGTTATTTAATTTTGTTTTATTTTATCTCAAGACTACGAGGACCCCTATATTGTTCCTCTACTCTCCGTATTTAACCGATTTAATTAATTTCCCGTACATTACCACGTAATTAGTAATCAATAGTGCGAGGATTATTAACCGTTATTATCAACATTATCGACCACAACGATTCATTACACACGTTCAAGATGACCATTGGTGTGGGATAATTTATAAAAGCGTTAAACGATTGGTTATAATAAATTTGGATAAATCTATATATATATATTCAATATATATATATATATATTGAAGGATTTGTGAAATATCGTTATTATGAAATTCAAATTATTCGAGCTCCTCTATCATATCAATTAAAAGAATACTGATTATGAAGATTGATGGTGTAGTGTTGTGTTAATTGTTGATTCAATCTTACCTAGACAATTTT